CAAGCGACGCGGTCTCAGGACGGCCCGGGACAAGCGTGAGAGGCGGTGAAGTCGCTGCCGCACTCAGGATGGCGACAGCCGCGAACATCAACGTATATCCTGGCGAGTTTACGAAAGATCGGTTACCTGCCGTAGACTATTCAAGGATTATTTTTGTTGATTATGGAAGACATGGAGATAAAGTCTGATTCAATAATATTTTTGTACGCGCATTTTTGCCATATTTTGAACATATATAGATTGCATGCATGTGTGTTTATATACATACATCTACATCTACATATATGTATATATATACATACATACATACATATATATATATATATATATATATATATATATATATATATATATACATACACTTGTACATATTCATATACATATACACTTATACATACATAAAAATATGCATACATACACACACACACAACACACACACACACACACACACACACACACACACACAACACATATATATATATATATATATATATATATATATATATATACATATATACATATATATATATATATATATATATTATATATATATATATACATATATATATATATATATATATATATATATATATATATATATATACATATATATTCTATCTGAGTCTTTGGAATCCTTAGTGGTGGCTCTTGATGTATTTAGTAATGAAGCGAAGCTCTTGGGTCTAGAGGTCTGGACCAAGACCAAGATCCAGGACTTTGGGGACTTGATAGGAGTACCTGTTCAGTCGATACATGCTTGCGGCGAGGACATTGAAGTCACAGAGAGCTTTATGATATATGTATATATATATATATATATATATATATATATATATATATATATATATATATATATATATATATATATATATATGTATATATATATAATATATATATATATATATATATATATATATATACATATATATATACAGTATATAAATATATACTTACATACACATACATATATACAATATATGAATATATACATACATACACACACATATATACAATATATAATATATACATACATACACACACACACACACACACACACACACACACACACACACATATATATATATATATATATATATATATATATATATATATATATATATATATATATATATATATATATATATATATATATATACACGCACACACACATATGTGTGTGTGTGTGTGTGTGTGGCAGAGTATTGTAGTGAACTAAAACATTCCTGATTTCATTTAGTAATTAGTAAAGTTCAATGCTCTGATGGTTCCAAAAGAAATTTCAAACCGGGCGCCAGCATGTCTTACCTGACCCTGCCATGGTTGAAGTGCAGATCTCAAGCCTGGCTGCAGGTTCTTATATACAGCGAAAGCTTCGTAGAAGGTAAATGCCATATAGCAAATTTCAGATATTTTAGAGGAATGAGGGAAGGGAACTGGCAAAAAATGTATTTTTGTCCTAGGAAAAGAGATTGAAAAACGCGTTTTTAACATGTAACTTCTCGAAAGGTTATAATGGGAAATAAAAGGACAATCTGCAACTGTTGGAAGGCCCGCACGTAGGAGGGGAGGGAGGGAAACAGGGGGGCTCGCGGCGGCATAGCAACTTACAGGTTTTGATTTTTATTTTACCTAACTGGACTTTTCTGGATTCAGTGTGCCATTCCACTGCAGGGAAGAGAAATGTATATACAAATAGATTGTTACATTGTTACAATGTTAGATGATTATACAAAGGAAAATTGTTACATATTATTTATTTGGTAAAATAATAAAATGAATTAAAGTTTGACATGTCAAAAAATTATCTCTAGAATTCTGTCTGCAATGTTAGAACAATAGAAATTATAGATAATTTGTTTTCATGAAGAATTTATCGTGATGGATTTCATTGTCGTCTTTAATTTTCCATGCTTCATGGTTGTATAATGCCTTATATAACCAAGAAAGTGCGACCTCGATTGCCACTAGAAGTAGATGGTCACCATTTAATGTTTTATTTTGTTTAAATGCGTTTCGACGCTAATCGTTAAATGTTACTTCAATTTGTTTTCCTTCATTTTCGCCAGCCCTTCAGAAGGAGAACTCAGGCAGTGTCTCTGTGCTGACGAAGAACCTGTTTTTTCCAGAATCCGAGATGAACTTTCATTCCTGAAGTATAGTCCAGCGGCGAACAGAGCGTGGGCGCAACAGCCGCCTCGTACCCTGATGGCGCTGCAGGCGGAGCGGCGATCCTGACTGTTCGCTGCGACCCGGTCTGGGTTCAAGTTTTATTTACACGATCCCGGTTTTATGTATTGCGTATGAATT